TTGGGGATCACTGTCCAATACTTGGCTCATGCCATGTTAACCTTGTAAACACCAACTAGAAAATGCTCAAGCTGTCATCTTTAGAGGGAGCGGAAGCAGATGGCAAGGATGTTCATCTTTCTGCCATGCTTGACTGGCAAGGTGAAGGAGAAGTGATGATGTAAAATTCACAGGATCATTCCTACCACACCTCACTTCATGGTTCAATGTGGCTGCCACCTTTGCACATGCTTTCCAATTATCAGCTACCCTTCTACAGCTTTCTACAGGCCCCGTTTCAAAACACCTGTTTCTGACTAAACAATACTGCTTCTCCTCTGTACCACTGCAGAAATAACAAAGACAAGTTAATAAAATCAGCATGATTGTTCGTGTCACTGGTAATCAGTGGCAGGAAGGCCACTACAGGGCTCTGAGCCCCAGTTTGAGGGATGTGCCTAGAAATTGTGGTTGTTTCAAAATGAGATCAATTTCATTCAACCAGCAGAGAGAGACAGCCCACTCCAACCAAATCCAAAGTAGAGTAATGCCTCGAGGAGAAAGTTCTCTATTAATTAAAGAGTTGATTCAAAAGAAAATTTTGGTTTAATTGATTTTTAATAGATTTGATTTTTTTCAGTAGTTTTCAGTTTACAGCAAAGAGGGACAGAAGTACAGAGTGTTCCCATATGAATGGGTGTTGTTTTTTGTTAAATGCTTTACCTGCATCTATTGCTATATCATGTGATTTTTCTTCTTTAGCCTGTTTATAGGATGGATGACATTCATTGGTTTCCCAAAGTTAAGCTAGCCTTGCTTACCTGGGATAAATTCCACTTGGTTGTCATGTACCATTCTATTTATACAATGTTGGATTTGATTTGATAAAATTTTTTGAGGATTTTTGCACCCTATGTTCATGAGAGATAATCAGTCTGTAGTTTTTTTTGTTGTTTTCTTCTTGTAATGTCTTTGGTTTTGGTATTAGGATAATGCCGGCCTCAAAAACTGAGTTAGAAGGTATTCCCTCTACTTCTATCTTCTGAAAGAGACTGTAAAGAACTGGTCTAATTTTTTCCTTAAATGTTTGATAGAATTCACCAGTGAATCCATCTGGACCTGATGCTTCCTGTTTTAGAAGGTTATTAATTATTGATTCAATGTCTAAGAGTTATAGGCCTATTCAGATTTATATTTCTTCTTGTGTGAGATTTGACAGATTGTGTCCTTCAAGGAACTGGTCCATTTCATCTAAGTTATCAAATTGGGGAGAATAGAGTTTTTCACAATATTTCTATATTATCCTTTCAATGTCCATGGGATCTGTACTGATGTCTCTGCTTTGATTTCTAACATTAATAATTTGATCTTCTCTTTTTGTATTTTCATAGTTAGCTTACTAATTTTATTGATCTTTTCAAAGAACCAGTTTCTGACTTTGTTGTGGAAACCATGTAAATTTAATCCAGTTCTGCTCAAAAGAACTGTACACTTGTTTAGAAAAGACTGACTTGGAAACAACTATAATATAATTTGATATGCTGATAATGTGTAACATTTATGAAGGCTATTATAAAGTACATGGGAGCAGGGAGGAGTAGGGAAAAACCCAATCAAAAACAAAGTGACACCTGAGTCCAGCTGAGAAGGACCAATAGGAATGGCACATGTGGACAAGTGCATTCAAGGCATAAGGACCTGGGTATACCTCTTGTTTATTATCAGGTGGTCAGTGTCTTAAATATAAGTCCCTCCAAAAATCATATTTACTTAAATGAGTATCACCTTTTCCACTCTAAGACTTTCTTTCAACAATTGAAAGAGAAATTTAGATTGCATTTTCATATACAGGCATACCTTGGGATTTTTGTTTTTTAACATTTTTTCTTTATTGATTTTTAGAGAGAGATAGAGATGGAAACATTGATGAGAGAGAACATTGATTGGTCACCTTCTGCAAGCCCCCAACTGGGGATTTGGCTCAAAACCAGTAACTTCTTGGTGAATGGGTTGATGCTCAACCACTGAACCACACCAGCCAGACAGGCATACCTCGGTTTTATTGTCCTACACTTTACTACACTTCACAAGATGTTATTTTTTTATTTTTATTTTTTACAAATTGAAGGCAAGAGCTTCCACCAGGAAAAAGATTATGACTTGCTCTCTTACGATATTCACTTTATTGCCCTGTTCTGGAACAGAACATGCAATAACTCCGAGGCGAGCCTATACAGGTAGAATACCTTCAGGATTTCTAGATGGCCTCCCAAATAGTCCTCAGTTTAGCTCCCTGTACTCTCCGCTGTGCATGGCCTTTGCTGAGATACAAAAGACAGTTGACAGGAAAAATGTGAAGATGTATTGATGCATTTGTGGATATACTTTTATCCCAAAAGTTGGAGGAAAAAAGATAACATGTAATGCTGCAAGTGGAGGGACAGGAGAATCTACATAAAAGAAAAAAGCCTGGCCAGTGTGGCTCTGTGGTTGAGTGTTGACCCCTGCACCAAGAGGTCACTGGTTTGATTGCCTGCCGGTCAGGGCACATGCGCAGGTTGTGGGCCAAATCCCCAGTGGAGGGCGTGCAGGAGGCGGCCAATCAGTGTTCTTTCTCATCATTGTTTCTGTCTTTCTCTCCTTCTCCCTTCCTCTCTCTCCAAAATTAATAAAGAAAAAAATATTTAAAAAAAAAGTTACAACAGTTTTTTTTTTTCCTTTCCAGAATTCACAGCCTAGTTTTCACTCTATTAATGGATACATTATTTATTTTCCTCTTGATGAAATTATCTTTCTATCATCATGTCACATGCCAAAGACAGAGTTCAGCCTTGACTTTATTTAACATTTTGTTGTTAGGAAATCACTATTAGCAATTTTGAACAGCCAAGGTATCAAAATCTATTAATGTTATCATCATGATATCTTATCAAAATTACATAAGTCCTTTCCTTGGGATTTTGCTGTATTATTACATGACATACAATAAATAATTTTTTTTTTATCAGCACCAACAAGCACTTTGAGAGATTGCATTAAAAAATAATTATAGAGAGCCATGACAAAATAGATCTCAAATATTCTCAAGTACTATGAACGTGAGACAGTAGGAAGGAAGGATCACATTGCTGCTTTCTTGCTTGATAAGTGTGCTGGCTTTGTGATACACAGCATTCTAGCTAATTAGCAGCAAGGGATCTAACTCTCAAGGTTTATGGTCATGGTGTTGTGTATGGCTCATGACATTTTTAAAAGGTCTTTTCCATGAAGTAAGGAATTAAAGTGTCATGGAGTTGAAGCAATTCAATGACCTGTATGAAAACAATAAAGGACATTAAAAGCTCAGATTACACACCTTTAAAAGTATTTATGATTGAGGCCCTATAAGTGTACCAATGGATTTCCTTTAATAATCATTTAATCATCTTTCATATGTGAAATAATGGGCAGCCCAAAACATCCTCTTCAAGGCTGCACATCATCTGTCATTCTTTTAATCAGACTGGACTTGACAGCCATGATTTCTTATTAGAGGGGATTTCATGACCCTGGGTAATGGGATTCTAACACTACCAAAATGTAATGATTTCTGGTGATTATGCAATAAAGTTATAGTGATATTTGATGAATGGATCCCCTCAGAATAAACTGAGTTCCCAAAACTCTCACTAGTACCCCATATCTATCCTTTGTTACTCACATGAGGCCAGAACTGCTAACATTTGCAATGACATCTTAAAAATGATTCAGTGAACAGTTTGCTCCTTTGAGGTGTTTTCCCCTCCAGGAATTGTGAGAATGAGTAAGCCCAAGGGAAAGAAAGAGAGGGGGTGGGCAGGATGGGTGATTAGTTCTACTGGTGGCAGAGAAGGCTCTCAGTTTCATTTGGCTCTCTTAATTCTTAATGAGATTCACTTGTAGGGCATTAACCTTGGACCCAGGCCAGAACACCAGCTCCAAATTCTGACTTCGTGGGTGTGGGATGGGACCTGGGCACTGCTACTTTATAAAATTTCCACACGAGTTCTCTGCTCACCCGTGGTCAATGACCATTCCAAAGAGGCATATGCACACCCTTTATCTGAGATGTGAATGAATCCTTTAAAGTAAGAACTGAGGAGTGATGGGTTGCCTCACCTGTTTGACCATAAAATTTTCTTATACAACATGGACTTCGATTCTGCGATGAGCACTTACTGAGGTAAATGCGCAATGTTAGTGCATGTACTGGCTCATGGAAGCAAAATGCATTGGCATAACTCCTTTTGTCATGCGTTAGAGCTATGGCTGGTCACTTTTATTGCAGTTTGTGTCAAATTTAGTGGGGGTGATTATCCCTTTCAGTATGTGGGAGGCTACTGGTGACAAGGACTTGAACTTTGAAATGAAGATCAGTGGTTGTCTACTATGTAATGTAGGCATGTCCAGGAATTCCCAGGAAGCCGAGTGCCCTCTCTGGATATCCAGGCAAGCAAATATTTCTGAAAAGGCTTCCTCCAAATATTCATTTCTTTGGTGTGAAGAATTTTTATTACTATTCCCTAAAGCTGTGGTGAGTTTTAAATCAGGGCAGTTCTCCTAGCAAAGACAGGAAAGTAGCTTGGGACTTTTGAATAATTCAGCTATGCTGCCGATGACTTTGGTAGTGAATATAAACATAAATATATTTTCTTTCTTTTTACTTCCTTTGAACTATTGCTTTTATCCACCCAGGTGACATACTCCATTTGCAATATGCAGTCCTAGTACAGAATAACTTCCAACTACTGGAAAATTTTGCCCTTCTGATTTTCAGGGAATTTAAAGAGAATATTTTCTTGATTTGTCCCAGGAGACCTGCCATTTCAGAGAAAATGCTGCAAGACTTAATAATCCAAAGACAGGCACCTCAGCCCCACTTTAATTTCCAACTTAGCTCAGGGAGGTCAATTTAGACAGCTGCAATGGTATTTTCAATGTTTCTGTGTATATTCTGGAAAACACTAGACTGTCTTAAAAAATGATGGACTCAGAGCCAATCAATGGGAAGACTAGTTCAAGTTACCTCCCTGGCTGAAGATCGCTGCAGGAGACCAAGCCTTTACATTCTACAACTTCTATTCAAGGAGTTCAATTTAAATCAGATTGTGTGTGACCATGGGGTACATATACTTGTCCCTATGGGATTGGTCCTTGGATTTTATCTGGACAGAAGGAATGATGAAAATCTAACTGCCTTCAGGGACAAGGGTGTGTTATTTATTTTAAATATGTTTTTTATTGATTTTTTTTTAGGGAGAGGAAGGGAGAGAGAGATAGAAACATCAACATGAGAGAGAAGCATCAATAGGCTGCCTCCTGCATGCCACCTACTGGGGATTGAGTCCACAACCTGAGCATGTGCCCTGATGGGGAATTGAACCAGGACCTCTCAGTCCATGGGACAATGCTCAATCCACTGAGCCACACCAGCCGGGCAAGGGTTTGTTATTTAAAAGAAAATTGAGACCCAGTGAAGAAGTTACCTGGAAGTAAAGTTTGTGGCTAAATTCCAGAATGTTCATTTTTTTAAAAATTATGACAAAAATAACACCACCTTTCATTTGATATAAATAAATAAATAAATAAATAAATAAATAAATAAATAAAAGTGTCCAAATCTATCAATGCTATGCACAAACCTGTAAACTGGAAACAACCAAATATGGGGGGGGGGGGTCATCTGTGATGTAATTATTTGACCAGATTTCAATCTTTAGGTGAAAAATCAAAAATGTAAGTCTTTCTTGAAATAGCTTTTCTTTTCCTAAAAGTTGTAGGACTTCTTTGTTCTATTGAGGACCTTTGTTTGACATAGGAAAACAGGGCAAAAAATGAGGGGCAGAGCTGGGACTGGAGCATAGCTGCAGGCTCCAGAGCCCTGGTTTTAACCAGTATAGCATTGCTGCTTCCACCATGCCATTGACTAAGACACCAAAATTGGAGCTTTCTTTCCCACAGTGAAGGCGGACCACTCTAAAACTTCCTCATTGTATGCCAAATCTTCCTGTGATCAGTAGCCCCTTTTGCTTGCCCCCTTTGGGACTGAGGACCAGCCAGAGGGGCTGTGTGGGTGGGTGGGAGGCAGAAGAGGGGGGTGTCATGGCAGTCAAATGGAATCAGGCGATGAAGCTACAGACAGGGTCCAGGGGCAGCCATGAGTTGGAGCCAGCTCCTAACAGATCACAAGAGTTGAGTGTTTAATAAAAAAAAAAAAAGGAAAAAGAGGCAAAAAGACTATCATCTTGAACTTTGAATTAATGCCTCATAGATTTGTGGAGGAGTCGTGCTAGTTAAGGATTGGTGGTTTAGGTGAAAGGCAACCAGTGGAAATGTATCCAGTGCATGCTTAGCCAAGCATATTACTAATTGATATCTTGTTTACATTAAGAGGAAATCAAGGCACTCCCTTCTCATTTTCTCTTCTAGTGCCCTAGTGAGTGACCCACAAAGTGTACACGGTGAATCTCAGCAGGTATGTGGGAATCTGGGGAAGCAACCACTTTTACTGTTTCCACACTGTGGGCTCACACATAGATAGCAATAATGACAAGCTCAGAGAGGTAAATTGGCCCAAGAAAATACAGCTCATGAGTGGCAGGATCAGGTGTTAAGACCCAGAAGTCTGGCACCAGAGATCTCGCGTTTAACTTCTACCTTGATGCAACTGAAATAATATTGTTAGTTAATTCAGATCCCCAAAAGGGTCAGATTTGACAGGAGAAATGAGTCAGATCGCACTGGATTAGAATGACTCTTTCACTCTACCAGCTAGAGTCTAGCTGGTTTTGCTTAGTGGTTAGGGCGTCAGCGTGGACCAAAAAGTCATGGGGTTTGTTTCCAGTCAAGGGCACATAATCTCAGTTGCGATAAGATCCCCAGTCATGTGGGAGGCAACCGATCAACATGTCTTTCCCATATTGATGTTTCTCTCTCTTTCTCTCCCTCCCTCCCTCCTTCCCACTCTATCTGAAAATCAATGGAAAAATATCCTCTGATGAGGATTAAAAAAAAAAAATAGAATGACTCTCTTGGCTAGACTTAGTAGTGAATTCATAACAACAATAATGCTACATGGACTGGGCACTGACCTGGTTCTAGTTTCCTTTGCAGGAATTTGACTCATGATTTCACCAAAAAAAGTCGAGTTTTAAGCAAAGCTTATTAAACAATGTGCTGGTTCAGCAACAGAAGTGACCAAGACGGAAAGTGCCAACTTACAGTCATACGAATATTTCCTTTCGTAAGACACTGAACCAAGTTTTATATAAAAGGTGGGCATGAGAAATATAAGAAGGTTCCAGAGAACAATCTTCATTGTGTAAAATAACTGAGGCAGGGCAATAAGTGTAGGACCTCAGAATCTTAACAGATAGCTTTTAAGTAGCTCGTGATAAAAATACAAATGTTATACTAAATATACATGAGACAGAAAAAAAATCTTGCATACCCAAGAAAAGAATTTAAAAGTTTAACAAATTATTTAGGATGAAATGAATCTGTTTACTTATTCCCAAGATCTCTGCATTCAGATTTTTTCTTACTTTGAGCCTCTTTTTCAGTCTCTTTCATTATTGTTGTTTGCTAAACAGAATAGACATTCATTATTGGACTACCCTACAACCATTGCTCTCCTCTACAGGTAACTCAATCCTGTTTTGCATTTGGGAACTATCTCTTTTTCTCATGGTCCTTAAGGTTTGAGCAGAGTTGACTCCACTCTTAGCCCCTGGCATAGACATATCACCCAGGCCTGGTCAAAGGGAGTGCAACCATGTATTTTGATTCAGATGAGAAAACTTTATTAGAAATTAATTGGTATGATTTTCTGGTGTCACCAGGGGAGAGGAACACTCTTTTCCAGCTATAATATTACAAGCCTTGAGCTTCCAATGAAGAAATGTTTCCTACAAATATAACTACTCCACAGACAAATAGAGCTGAGAGCGGAGATACACAATAACCTAAAGACAGGTCTGGCTTCATGGGCATGCACTGTGGTTTCACAGGACCTTGCACTTGGAAAAGCCCCAGCATTGATTGAATTCTATGCTATCATCATTTTGAAATTCTTAATAAATTTTGACTGAGGAATCCTGCATTTTCTTTTTGCTTTAGGCCCCCCAAATTTTTTAGTCAGTGTTACCTAAAGACTTTGGTGAGACCTCTGGATCTAGCCATGTCCAAAATCAGACCTAAGCTGGGAACTTTTGGTTATGGGAGCCAATAGATTCTCATTTTTGTTTAAGATAGTTTAGGTTGAGATTTCTGTATGGACAACTTAGTTCAAACCTAATAGTATAACTAAAAAAATAGATAATTATTTTTCAAACTTTCCACCCAATTCTAGAACACATTTTTCAGCCAACTCATAGATAATTTTCTTTTTCAAAAACCATTAATTTGAGGAAAACTATATACCTTGTAAGGTACCCCATTTCAAAAAAATTATATATTCTTAAAGTTCTCCTTTTATAACCTTGTACCTATTAGTTCTATTTAAAATATCTAAAATTATTCAGATAAATCACACATCCTGCTGCATGCCAGGACTTCAAATACTTAGACAGCTATACTCATATCCCCCAATAATTCACCACTATTTTTTTTTTTATCCTCACCCGAGGACATTTTTCCATTTCTTATTCAGATAGAGCGAGAGGGAGAGAGAGGAAGAGAGAGAGAGAGAGAGAAACATAGACGTGAAAGGGACACATCGAGTGGCCGCCTCCCGCATGACCCAACCAGGCCCGGGGACAAACTGCAACCGAAGTACATGCCCCCAGTGGAAACCGAACCCGGGTCTCTCTGGACCGCAGGCCGATGCTCTAACCGCTGAGCCAAACCGGCCAGGACAATTCACCACTATTAAGCCAGACCCTGGTACTTTCCATTCTCCTTACATTTCATTTCCAAATCCTTGAACATCCCATGCAATATCTATATTGTCGGTATCTAGATTGAATTCAAATTCCTGCTGTGAACTACAGTGGAATTCTTCCTTCCGTGACCAGGAATCAGACTGGTAACCTTTAGATGCATATGACGATGCTCAACCAACTGAGCTACACCAGCCAGAGCTCTTATACAATGTTTTAGTTCATCTCTTTCTTGCAGAAAAATAGTCATTATTGCATGTGGAGCATACAGGAAATCACCCCTGTTCCCCTGGAGTACTGATGTACAGCCAGGATTTAGAGGCCTCTAATTTATACATTGATAACTTTTCAATCTATCTTCCCTCCAAATTACCATCTTGAAATTTAAAAGCATCTATGCAACTGTGGTAGATTAGAAATATGGCTATGGCTTCTCCCAAACCTGTGTGCAAAGACCCTTTGCAAGGTGCCTTTGTTGTTCGTTCCTTTCAGAAAATGAGTCTATTTCCCAATCCCTCAGACCTGGGCTGGTCGGCTTGGTCAGAAGATTGTCGCTTTAATGGCATTATGTGTCTTCCAAAGCTGTGCCTAAAGGGGTCTTGCTGCTTCTGCTTCCATAGCCTTGGAATGCTGCCCAGAGACCATGAAAGGAAGGAAGCCAACCAATGTAGTGTCCTGCAGGATCAGTGACCCCATGGAGAAGAACTGAGGTGCCCCTAGCCAACAGCCAACAGCCACTGCCAAACAAGTGTGTGAGGCTCTCTTGGAACTGCCAACCTGGATGAATGAGTGAGCTCAAGCAAAACCAGCCGTAGAACTCTCCAGTAAACACAATGAATTGTGAGAAATAATAGATTGTTGTTACTTTAAGCCAGTAAGTTTCAGGGTGGTTTGTCATGCAACAATAGGTAACAGAGATTCCAACTGTCTCCAGGATGTCTCTACTTGTACTTTTCAGAAGCACATCAAACTTGACAAGTCCACAATTACATGCATCTTCCTCCCCTTCCAGATTACATACCCTTCCTTAATTGCCCATGCCCAGCCTAGTGAGGCACCCTTGCAAATGCTTTTCCGTCTAGCACAGGGTATTACAAACTCTTGGACCTTGTCCTAGTTCTCAAGACATACACTGTATTTATATTTTATACCATGTATCCTCAGCTGCTAGAATATTGTTTGGTACATAGTACCAGAAAATGGCCAGAGCACTGAGGAATTATGGAAGAACTGGGGAAATCACCAAAATCCAGAGAAAACTAACTTACCAATTTAATGAGGCCATTCTCCAAAGACTCTCTCCATCTTATTTCTCAGGAAAAGAGATCATCTCCTCACCAGGATATCTAAGTTTAAGTAACTAAAATGCAAATTTTCATTCTACATATGCCAATTACTCTGAGCTAAATTACCTTGATTGCTAAATATAGTCTTACATATTATGATTTTCTCCCTGAACCCACAATACAATACACAGATTATAGAATTGTACACTTGAAACCTATATAATTTTATTAACCATTGTCACCCTAATAAATTCAGTAAAAATAAAATAAAATTAAATTTAAAAAAAGAAATCCTTACATAGTAGATGCTTAATAACAATTGGTTAAATGC